CTCTATTCCCTCCAGCTAACTATACCAACAGAGACAGACAGAAAATTCGTGTTCAATGATCTAAAATTTAATCCGACATTGAACCCGCCACAAGTCTTGTCCCTGCTGTCAGACCTGATATGCGTCACAGCCCAACCTGATGACCCTGTACAAGTCCTGATCAGTCCATCAGGTGTGGTCAGGCCCTGATCAGACAAATCAGATCTTCTGACATGCGCACCTCACAACTGAATACAACAGCTTTCAATGTGAAGGTAACAAAAGGAAATCTTTGCAGGCTAACTACAGAGACTGGAGCCTGAATATACCAGTCTTCAGTACTGTACATGTTTGAAGGCAAGATAAAGGAGGCATGACGTTCAAACGTTGGTATCTTGACTCAAACTGCATTTGAACCAGCACAGTGCTGGAAATCCCAACGGACCTGCCACGGGATACAGGTTGTAACTAGCGTGGAATTTATTCAAGGCCTCCTCATGTGTCCGGATTCGAATCCATTCAAGACGGACACGTCCGACGAGGAATTGCACAGCATTCAGAGTGTCCGCGCGTTAATTGAAAATATCAAAGCGTGTTTTGGTTGTCATTTATTAGAACTCGAAGGCTTACCATTTTACCCAACACTTTTGGTTTATGTGAACGAGTCCAACCTGTTTTTCACGATCGGTCTTTCGTCACAACTCTAGACTTTGAATAAGGTAGAGAGCGTGGGTTCTCGGCACCTTATGTAAGCAGCCATCAAAAAGTTCCCACGGCCAAATCTGAGCTCGGGGAAAAAAAAATTCCCCAGACAAGGGCGGGAGGCTCAGGAAAATATATAATACATTTTGGGACCAATATATACATTAGTAGGTTAAAATGGCAGCCTTTATCTCTGCAATCATCGAGGGAGGCAGTATGCGATGCCCACTGAACCGTCGGTTGATGTGAATCAAGTCATTGCCACTCAATCCGTGCGCATATGCCGAAACAAATCGCGCTGCCCTGTTAGCAAACCTGGAGAACCCATAAAGTTAATGAAGTACTCAACCATTGAACTTATTGAAAATTACCGAATGATAGACAGCTTTGGGACTTCATCGAGGCATTTCTTGACATTGTTTTCCATTTCATCAATGTTTGTGGTCCTTGCAGATTTGTGATAGCGAAATTTGGCTGCCCCCCAGTACATTTCAATGAAGTTCAGCTCGCAATGATATTTGGGATAAAAGTCACAAATGTGACCCCGGGACTCCACAAATTCTTCTAGTGCAGATTTCTGGTTGACAAAATCAGGTTGGCAGAAAAGAATTCTGCGGCAACAGCAGTCAGCATGGCCTGCTTCACATTTGAATCCTGGGCATTGTGCAAGCAAACCATCCCGCCATAGACCACGTTCCCGAATGATCAATTCCATGCCTTTAAACCAGCCAGGCATTGTTGGGTGATTATCCTCAAAATAGAATGACTGTGTCTCTCCATTGGGCATTGTCCCATTCCGCATTCGAGGTCCTGTATCGAGTTTTGGGCCTTTGACCATTTTACGAGCAGAGAGTGCATCAGCAGCCCGTTTGCGATGACTTGGGGCATTATCAAACAGAAACAGCCCTGTAGCAAGGCCCTTGGTCTTGGCTTCAAAGATGTCAATTGCCCGGTCAACCTGCGCCAGAAGTTCTTCGGATGTGAAATATCCATCTCGGTTTTTTCCTGCACGGAACAAAAGTCGTGCTTCCCTGAAAGAACAAAAATTCATCAGTAACTTGTTGGCATTCAGAGAGCAAAAGAACTGAACTCGTCACCATCAATGAGCCTTCCCCAGTCAAGTGTCAAAAAGTCAGACACCATGATCGATTCACCTTCACCCTTTGGCTGTGGTTTGTTCTCCGATTTGCTGAACCATCCATTCTTGCGGCGATCGTTGGCATAGAAAGTCGACTCGTCGTGGGTGACAAGGATGAGTCGAAATGGTTGGCCCTTCAGTTTTCCCTCGAGGACATATCCAACAGGTGTCCTCTTTACATTGCCATCATTGTCGTACTCCACCATCCGTGGCTCATATTTTTCCAACCAGCGCTTCACAAAGGCAGCCCGATATGCTACAACATCCTCCCGCTCATGGCCATCCACATACATTCCATTCTTGCGACGCCCATATCTCCAGTCAAGATGTTTGAGCCAGCGGCGTGCAGTCCACACTGATATTGTGCGCTTCTGAATATCTGCTTGTTTCAACATCTGCTGGATTTCGTCAGTTGCCACAAAATCAACCAAGGTTTGTGCCGTAAAATGGCCATCTTTTCCAGAGACATTCTGCAGATGAAGCTTTATTGCCTCGGAGAAATCCTCATCATTGAGAATGGATGAGTGGTACTGCCCATAGCGATGAAGAGGGAGTTTTCGTGAGCTGAGAAAAGTATGAATCCAGCTGCGAATGCATCGTGCACGATAAGGTCCATGCCCCTGAGATCTAGCAACAATCATAGATGCCTCCCGCCAAGTATAGGACAGCTGGGAGTCAAGATAAAGGTTGAGAGTAGCAAGCATGGCTGTAATCCGAGCCCGGAAAAATACATCAAGCTTTTTATCCTTGCTTTTGACACTGAGACTGGCAGCACTACGGCGAAGAGATGGAAAATCTTTGTGATTCAGCTGGTTCAGAGAGTGATCAGTGACTGTCTGTGGGGTAGGATCTAAAATTTGGCTGCCATCCTGTATGGCTTCCAGCAGTTCCTTCAGATGGACATGTGCAAGATTGACTGGATCCATGCAATCTGGAGTCTGTAAATTATTGTGTTAAAATTGCAATTAAAAAATGGGATAAATGCGAACTTGAATGCCTGGTTCCACAGACTGGGCAGTAGCAGCAGATGGTTCAGGTTCATCTTGGTCCTCAGAACTAGATTCTGATTCATTTTCAGATTGAGACTCAGCTGGGGACTGGGCAGCAGAGAAGCCATCTCCAGCTGAGGAGTCAAGATCTGTATTCTGCAGCATAGCAGCTGTCTTCTTGGCCTGTATAAACTCAAAGAGTGGAAGGAACCCCTTCTTTGCTAGATCTTTTCCCATCTTTTGGTGACGACACTTTGTTCTTGGAGCATTGCCGTAGTAATGCCTCGGACGCTTTTGCTGCCCCTCCCGAGCCTGTTCTGCCTTCTGAGCTGTAGCTTGGGCATTGGAAAGAAACTGGGTAAAAGCATCCAGTTCATTTTCCTCTGTGATTTCGGGTGCCACAACAATTTCCTCGTCAAGGTCTGGTTCTTGAGACTCCTCGGGAATGTCATCGCAATCCACATCAGGCAATTCATTGCCAAGATTAAAATCCCAGCTCTCATTGCTGTCTTCTGTAGAGTGGGGATGGTCATTGAAGTGGTTTCCATGCAGAGAATCATTGTCCGAGTCTGAGCTCAGATGCTTAATGTCACCTTCATCTGACACTTCTTCCACCGTGGTTTTAAGGGAGCTTCGGGCCTTGAGGAGGTTGTTCAGTCGTGCCTTGCGTGCTTTTGAACCCCTAGTCATCTCTAGCACTGAGGATAGGCGCAAGTAGGAGCAGAGAAAGTGAGGAAACCACGCCAAAACCACGCGAAAGGGGCGTGCACAGGTCGGCCCGGATCACGGGCCGAGGCTCGGACCGGTCACGTGGTGGCTGTGCTGCGGCCAAATGTTCCAACCACATTTTCCCCGAAATGCACCAATAGCCGTGAAAGGTATGTTAGAAGTGAAAAAAAGAGGAAAACTTTTTTGGCTTTTAACTCTCTGAAAAAAAATGTTCTCTTGAATCTGGCCAATAGGAACTGAGCATAATGACCCTAAATATGATTCCTATTAACCGAAATACCCCTAACTATTAATGGGACGCCGCTATTTCCACCGAAAGTTGCAGCTGATGGCTGCTTACATAAGGGTGCCGAGAACCCACGCTCTCTACCTTATGGCGGGTAGACTCGTAACCAGTCTGCCTACGCCGTTCTAACAAGGCGGGCTTGTTGCCGTAGGCAGACTGGTACTTCTCGGATATCCCAATTGGGCTGGGGCGGAGTTTGAAATTTAAGTGACTTTTTCACAATCTTATTCTGTTTACACTCAGTTTTTAAGTTTATTTTTCGGTTGAAGCTGGGGTAATAAATAAAATAATTATCCCTTTGATTTGGCCTCCTTATATTTCCTCTTTATGGTACAGAACACCGTAAAACCTGGGGATAGTTTTAGTGGAAATCAACTTCGGACCGTGATTCCGGAATTGCCGCGGCTCATTGCGTCATCGGTCTCACTCAATGAACAACTTAATTTCAAACTCCGCGACAGACCAATTGACGTATCCGAGAAGTACCAGTCTATATGGCGGGATCCTATTGTAAGTTCAATATCTTAGGAATATATCAATGCATTCCACCCATCTTGCAATTTCGTCTGGATGAACTACACCCCGGAGTAAAGTCAGTGTATATTCGTCACCAAAAAATAAGTTAAGTATCCCATAATTGATACAGTCCGTTGGGTCAGTTATTTAGCCTTTCCTGCCGCCTCCCATGGCCTGCTCCAGTCAGTAAGCGAGTCCAGGTGAATTGCAGCCTGCTCCTCCTCATCACCCTCCATCCCATCGTCAAGTGGGCACTTTGGGTTACCCTCATCGTCTGCGTACCCGCTTCCATACGGCCATGGCCGCACCCTGTGCAACTCTGTACATGGCGCCTTTTCACGGGCCCGGCACCAAATGAAATTCAAATGGCTCTTGTAGTTCTCTTGGTCGTGCCGATAGACCACTTCATTTGAAGGACTGTAGTGGTAATACACTCCGTCTGCGACGAAGAGGAAGTCACCGTGCCCATATGTGTGGAAAGCAAGGGGCTCAATTTTTCCGGGTATGCCGAAGCCGATGTTGAGAGTGACAACAGCACCGATGCGTTGATCTCCGCGAAACGACGCAAAGTGGCCGAGTGGCTCAAAGAGCCTGGCATCTGACCAATGATGCCAATCGCACGACCAGTACTTTGGAAGGGGCTCAGAGGTAGGAGGAACAAGACTCGTGGCAGATGGTCTGCACTGGCTCTCAACATGCTTGTATTGATGATACAAGCAGGTCCCTGGTTCGATTCCGGGTTGAGTCGTAGCCGGAAATGAAAGGTTTTTTTTCTTGCCTCTAAGATCTTATTAGCTAGTATATTCAGCTACAAAAGTTAGGAAGATAAAGACTTGTGGCAGATGGTCTGCACCTGCTCTTAATAAGATCGTGCTGGTCGAAGTTTTCTAGCATAAACAGCTGTTTCGATTCCGGGTCGAGTCATAGCGATTGATTTTCATTTCCCCCCCCTTCACTCTCAAATCTATCGCGGCTGATAAGCAGGTCGCTAACGTCATCGGGTGCTTCAGAGACTACCGTATCACCTCTTGGCTCGACAACGACGACGAGCGCACTGCAGCCAGCTCCCTCGACTTCAAGGCCTTCATGGCCATGATCCGCGAACGCCTCCTGCCCAGTGATTGGGAGCGCACCCTGAAACAGGAGCGCAATAGCCGCAAGCAGGACAAATTTGAGCCTTTCCTCACCTTCCTCACCTCCATTGAACGTCTTAATTCCTTCTTGCTCAACACCACCCACCATCTTGATGACGCAGGCCTCCGCACGCTGCTCGAAACCAACATGACGATCGACCTCGCCGACGAGGGCAAGGTTACGGACACCACCAAGTACAAAGAGTGGTGCGAGATTGTCAAGCGGCGTGATAACATCCGCATCCGCCGCATCAAGGAGCTCCACGCAATCGCCGACGAGCGCGCGAAACGTGAGCGCACCAAAACCAACACGACCGACGAGCGCCCCCAGAAACGCAAGCGTGATGAGAACGCCCCACCATTGGGACTGTCCACTTCCTCCTCGTCTACCCCGAACACCTCGTCCGGCAACGGCAAACGTTGTCCGAAGCTCACCGAAGACGAACGCGCGCTGCTCGCAGGCAACCACGGCTGCAGCCGCTGCCGCAAACCTTTTGTCGACCACGCGGACGCGCAGGACAAGACATGCCCCTGGCCCAACGCCGCGAACTATAAACCGGTGTCGCAGGCCACCGTAGATGCCGCCGCCGCCGCCCTCATGGCCGACCAACGCGCAAAATACGGCATCAAGGCCAAGCCCGTCGTCGCCGCCGTCATCGCTGCCATTGGCTTCGCGCCTGTCGATGACCCTAACGACAGTAGCGTCGACTCGAACGTGAGTGAACCCCATCTGGTCTGGGACTTCCGCATGGAAGGACCCATGTCCAACCTCCCCATCGAAGTACGCGGGCTGATCGATAATGGTTCAGGCTTCGTCCTAATACACCAGGATGTCGTCGATCGCCTCGGTCTCCGCTGCCACTCCTTGCACGAACCAGTACCCGTCTCAGCCGCCTTCACCAATAGTGCCGACCCGCCGCCATTGACGGAATGGGTAAAACTAAAAGCCTTATCAAAAGACCTTTCATACGAAACAAATACTGTACGCGCCTTGATCGCGCCCGACCTCTGTACAGATGTAATACTAGGTTTACCCTTCTTGAAACGTAACTCAATTGTTGTTGACCACACCGACGGGTCCGTAATTGATAAGCGAACGAATTATAATCTGCTTGACCCCGTAATTCCTTCTCCCCCACCCCCGCCTAAGCCCAAGCTCCGCGAACGCCTGAAGAAGACCAAGGCGGACCACGAGTCAATGGCTAAGGAATTACACACGGTCTGCGCAACCCGCCTACAGGCTCTCACAGACCCGAACCTCTTCGAAACTGTCTGAGAGGTCGACGTTGTCGCCGCTGTCCGCGAGCGTATTGAAGTCATGGCCGAGGCAGAACGCCGACAGAAGCTTGGGGACGACCTCAAGGCGGAATATAAACCCATCTTTGAAGTTATTCCTCACGTAGACCGCCTACCTACCGATGTCCTATGCAAGATAAAAATCAAGGACGCATACAAGACACTGTCGAAGCGCAGCTACCAGAGTCCTCGAAAATACAAGGAGGCCTGGCACGACCTCATACAAAAGCACCTAGATGCAGGGCGTATCCATCCCTCCAATTCCCCTTTCGCCTCACCAGCCTTTTTAATCCCCAAGGCGGACAAGACAGCACTTCCACGCTGGGTTAATGATTTCCGAGACATAAATTCGAACACAGTACACGACGTTTTCCCCCTTCCACGTGTCGATGATATTCTTGCCGACTGCGCCAAAGGAAAAATCTGGTCAACTATCGATTTCACAGACAGCTTTTTCCAGACAAGACTACACCCAGACTCCATACCATACACCGCCGTTAGCACACCATTGGGCCTGTATGAATGGTTGGTGATGCCCCAGGGCCTACGCAACGCACCTGCGCGAGTATATCGGCAAAATTTGCCATGTATATCTCGATGACATTGTCATTTGGTCGCAGGATGAAAAAGAACACGCGCAACACGTCCGCCTCATCTTTGATGCACTAAAGAAGAATTCCCTATATTGCAACCCAAAGAAGACAAAATTATTTTGTGACGAAATTACCTTCCTCGGACACCGCATTTCCCAACGCGGCATTGAGGCAGACCAAAGCAAGGTTGAAAGGATTGTTAATTGGCCTACACCGAAATCCTCAACAAATGTCCGCGCATTTCTCGGCCTGGTCCGATATGTAGCACAATTCCTCCCCAATCTCGCCGACCACACCTCAGTCCTACACCGTCTAACCACGAAGGCGGCCGACAAGAAATTTCCTGATTGGGACAGTGAGCACCAATTTGCATTCGACCAAATCAAGACGATAGTCACGGGCGCTGACTGCCTCACGACCATTGACCACGAAAATATGGGAAACAACAAAATCTTTGTTACCGCCGACGCCAGTGACAAGCGGTCCGGTGCCGTTCTCTCCTTTGGGGAAACCTGGGAAACGGCACGGCCAGTTGCCTTTGACTCGCACACGTTCAAGGGCGCAGAGCTCAATTACCCCATCCACGAAAAAGAGCTCCTCGCAATTATCAGAGCTTTACGCCAGTGGCGCGCAGACCTAATTGGCAGCCCTATCCATGTTTATACCGACCACAGAACCTTAGAAAACTTCCACTCCCAGCGCGACCTGTCTCGGCGACAGGCGCGGTGGATGGAATTCATGTCACAGTTTGATACAAAAATTGTGTACGTGAAGGGCGAGGCAAACACTGTTGCAGATGCTCTCTCCAGAACAGACTTCGACGACAGCTCCGAAGCAGACTTGCACTCAGCCCCCCCCTGCGATGATGATTGCGACACCATCACTTCGCTCGCTTGCCCAACGAATGCGACACCCCTGATGGCTGCCCACTGCCTCGCCGTCACGCGCATTAGAGATCCAATAGCAGACCCAATTTGCACAATTATGTCAGTTGCGGTGGATACTGAATTACTCGACTCCATCCGCGCGGGATACACCCAGGACCCTTGGTGCTCTAAATTCACATCCGTCACTGAGAGCATACCAGGGATCGTCAACAAGGATGGTCTATGGTACATCGGCTCACGCCTGATGATTCCCCGCATTGGCCACATACGCGAGCGGTTATTCCGTTTAGCACACGACTCTCTTGGCCATTTTGGCTTTGAAAAATCTTACGGTTCACTACGCGATGCATATTATTGGCCAAATATGCGGAAGGATCTCGAATCGGCATACATACCTGCCTGTGCTGACTGCCAGAGGCACAAATCGAGAACCTCCAAAGTCTCAGGTCCACTCCACCCTCTTCCCGTACCCGACAACCGATTTGATTCGGTCGGTATTGATTTTGTTGGCCCACTGCCTGAGGAGGCTGGGTATAACTGCATTGCAACCTTCACAGACCGCCTTGGAACAGATGTCCAACTCGCACCAACTCGGACGAACGCTACCGCGGAAGAATCCGCCCTCGTTTTTTTCGACACCTGGTACTGCGAGAATGGTCTCCCGTTGGAGATTATCTCAGACCGTGACAAACTATTCGTTTCCAAATTTTGGAAAGCCCTGCACAAATTGACTGGGGTAAAACTCAAACTCTCGACTGCCTTCCACCCCGAGACCGATGGTTGCAGCGAGCGTACGAACAAGACCCTCAACCAATGCCTTCGCTTTCACGTCGCTCGAAACCAAAAGGGTTGGGTTCGAGCACTCCCTCGTGTCCGATTCCACATTATGAACACTATAAACAAATCTACTGGCTATTCACCTTTCCAATTAAAAACCGGGCGCTCACCTCGCCTCATCCCGCCTCTGACTACCCCAGACGCGGGCGTTGAGGCAGAGGACGTCGCAGCTGCTGATATCATCAATCAATTAACAAATGATACACTCGATGCAAAAGATAACCTACTCGCCGCCAAGCTCGTGCAAGCTGCTAATGCAAATAAAGACCGACGGCCCAATCCCGACTACCAAGTGGGTCAACGTGTCAAGCTTACGACCGAGCACAGACGGACCATGTACCTTCGGAGCAAAGAGGGACATTGCGCCAAGTTCATGCCCCGATTCGATGGCCCATACACTATTACAGCGGTACACAAGGAATGCTCTACGGTTACCTTAGACATGACAACACAACCTGAAGTATTCCCCGTATTCCATACCTCTGAGGTAGAACCCTACATCGAAAACAACGCGGAGCTTTTCCCTGAACGAGAACTCGCCCGCCCGGGACCAATCATCACCGCTGACGGTCACGAGGAGTTCTACATTGAGAAAATTATTGACGAATGCAAACGTGGACGTGGTAAACAATACCTTGTCCAGTGGTCTGGCCATGGAGATGAGGATCTTTGTTGGCTTCCAGGACGCGAAGTTGCAGAATGCGAGGCGCTTGATCGTTGGCTCGCACAGATTGACTCACCAAACACTAACACAGACACTTAAATACCTTCGATCCCCCACCCCCCCAGAATTCGCGAGGTATGCTCCATTTTTCACGGAGGGGAGGGGTGTAATCATGCTGCTTACGACTTATTCTATTTGCTTATGGACTCAGAGATAAACACGTACAAACTAGTTACTCTTCCTCCCGTACTTCATCTTCCTCCAGTACTTTGCTAGCTAGAGACTCTCAACGACGACTCCCGGAAACGGGTCTTAATTCTTTCTTGTGTGATCTTTCT